CAGCCCTGTGATTCTGTTTCAGCTGTCTCTCATGTCCTCACTTTTGTTCTTTCTTTTCCCCCTTCTTTTGCTCTCACGTTCCCACAAGTAAAACAGGAAAACAGTTCTTCATCTACTTCTAATATATTCAATACTAAATTAACACAGAAATATTGGAGATTCCAAAGGGCACACCAGATTTTTTTCTTGGACTTTCTGTGGTCTTGGTATCACGTTCTCATTGAAGAGGAGCAAAATTTATTTTGGGTTTATATGCTGAAGTAACCATTAAATAGATTGCTCACTGGCCATATAGTTCAAGTGTGCCATTAAATTCTTAGGCCTAGTAAGCAGACATTGTTGTGTGAATTCCACAAAACTAGGACTTACTACAAGCTCATAAATAAGGATAAAATCTCCAGTACTAGTACTAGTTATTGTACAGGAACTGAATTGTCAACTGGGTTTTAGCTTTTCTTATCTCTTCCTGAAAAGTTTTCACTAATATTTCTTTTGAGAAAAATAATATAACTCAGGCTACAAATGAAAAGGCACTACACATAATCAAAAATGCCTAGGATCCCAATTTTCACACACAGCTTTTTACAAAGATGAAACAACTGCAGATACACCCATTTAACTAAGAATCTGAATTACTGAATCCTTCCAATTCTCATTTTCATTTTTATTCCAATAATTAACTAACAATTTAAAAAAAATATCTGATATACAGCTCATTCTTTAGGCTAGTATACCACAATGCTATAATCCAACATTTTTCCTTTTCTCTTTACTTAAAAGCAATAATATTCTACCCTTGACCAAAAAAACACCAGATTTTGTATCCCATTAGGGCCATTTATGCGAGTCATTAACTCTAAAAAAGGGGGAAAATAAGATAACACAGTCCTAGCAACAGTTCAAAATTACATAATGCTTTTTGCCAACTCTGAATGCCCTTTAAAAAGTCCTACTTGAATGTTTTCTAATTCAGTTTTATAAATGGGAATAAATAAGTAAATACCTAACTAAATTATTTTCCAAAGGTCATGCAGAAAGAAAAAATGGATTAGCCTATGGTTTAAGCACCATATCAGATCTTAAAATATGGTGGCTTTGCCATGAAGCCTCCTGTGCAACCTTGCATCACTCAATATCATTTTATTTTATGCAGATAGGATTAAAAAAACAATACCAGTATGTAAGATCTGGGAGGAACCGCAACCGTACGACAGAGAAGCAGAAGTGCCAAGTATAAAATTCATGCTTTTAACTCACACCCATTTATGCTACAGACAAGACTTCCTCCTTGGATAAGCATGTAATTCAAAACATAGGATGCCTCTGGAAACACTAGCACATTGGGAGAGCACAGTAAGAGAGAAGCCTATTAAATAAAACAAGCAACAATTTCTGAAAGAGAAATTCATACAGCCTTTCGCTTTCCCATAGAGTTTTCTTACATTCTCACAGTCATTAAAATGTATAAAAATGACTATTTTCAAAACAGCATTACCATGAATTATCACCACCCATGTTGCCTAGCAACTCGAGTAATTTTTGAATTGTGAGCTATAGAAAACAGTATCTGGAGTTTGTGCAAATGGATGTTCATTTGAGGGTTTAAAACACATTCATCTTGGAAATCAGAGGCAGATAATGCAGTGCTAATGCAAAACTCAAATTCTCTTAAAAACATAAAATGGCACTAACAAATATTGTAGCTCAGCAAAACCCTTTTGTAGCAGATCTAAACCCTATCATACTTGGTCAGGGCAGGAGTTTACTCCCTTGCTCCTCCTTGGGCTTGCAATTGCCCCTTTCCAATTTTTATGAAGATATTTGACATTCCTATGGGGAAAATAATTCTTGCCCAGTCTTCTGAAGGATTTGTTCATAACTCAAGAGCAAAAGAAACTGGTGACATAAAATGGCAATGTATTTAAGTCAAATTAAAAATTCTATTTTTAAATAACATGCTGAGCTGGAAGAACATATTGGTTCATACCATGACAGAATTATGTGCTTACTAAGGTTCAAAATAGGACTGGACATAATACTGGCAAAGAGATAACCCACTGAGACATTAGAAAGAGATTATAAGTACATATATGGAAGATACAAACTCCCAGAAATCATGGTCCGGTCCTTGTTCCTTAGCTGCAAGTATTTGCCCATTATAGGGATTCTTGCACATTCTTCAGACCCATGTGGAATTTAACATGAATGCAGGACAAGATCCCAAACCACATCAAACCATATTGTTTGATGTCTGAGAATTTCTGTATTACTTTCTTACAACTTCAGTAGACAAGTTCCTGCTAAAGCTGGTGTCAGTATGTGTTACTATTCCCAAAAATGGGGTGGTGGTGTGGGGGTGTTCCCAAGAGAGAAAGATTCCAACTTAATGTCTTCCAAGGCTTAGCTTTATGGGTAACAATAAAAGAAAAGCAACGTGCTGAACAACAGCATGCATAGAGACTGCAGGCAGAGAGGCAAATTCATCCCTGGCACAAATACACAGACCACTGAAGGCAATGCAGTAGCATCTGCTTATAACAGATATGAATCTGAACAAGCTTTTCCCTACAACTACAAGTACTACCTGCGGAGATAGAGCTGGATACAGCACTGAAGGGAGTTTAAGAGCCTGCAGCCTCTTAGAGTTTAGAAAACCAAATTTCTGCAGTAAGAGAAAATCTATGAATTGTGAGTTTCCGGGCTCTCAGGAAGCAATGCAGTGCCTACTGAGAGGCTGCCATAAAACACTTAATGGCTGTTAATTAGCTCAGATAAAGAAAAGATGCATTTTGTCTACTGGTCTATGGAAATTTGCTGAGACCACACACATTGTGCAGAGCTGTCATGTAAGAAAACACTTCCATTGTTTTCATTTGGTCCCACTCAACAAAGGCAGTGAACAAAAATTTTATTTTATCCTTAACAATGAAAGCAAACACCCCTAGAGAAAGAGAAATTATCTCAGCTAGATAGGTTAGTCATTGCTCTAAACAAGAGATGCCACTGAACACGTCATGTCTGTCTATGGGATACTCAGACTCTTCTACTCTTCTACAATGCAGCACACACACCCGCATCCCCCTTCCTCTCATTGCCACCAAGGAGCAGCACACACCTGTTCTGCCAGATTACTGAGCAAAAAGTGTTTAAGCTCACCCAGCCACCAAAACTTCTATTTCCATGGCTCATGAATAGATAGCATATGGGAAAAAGTGCTTTCTGTATTCTACTCAACAAGGAGACAAAATTTGATCCTATTTGGTCAGTATTTTTTTTTCAGATTACATTTTAAAAGTCCTCCATAGAAACAAGACATTGCCTCTGATTTACAGATGACTGACCACTGCTCTATACTCTATAATACCTGTTTTTAAAGGAGTGAATTCAAGAGGAGATTCTGGCATGAAGAGAGCTTCAGCAGTACAGATATGGATGAGAAACTGTGCTGGCACCTCTGACTGTGTGAAACATTGGACATGTAGCAAGTAGAAGAAATGTTTGGTAATGCTTTTCTCCTAGTCAATCATTCCCAGAAAGACAATTGTATTTGGTAACTACTCCTTGTATGTTTAGTTCTAGCCTAGGGAGCATCATTAACATCCTTTTTCCTATTCCTATAGTTGACCTTCCCTTCCATCCATAAAGTTCAACAGGAAGGAAAACAGATTTTTGATAAGTATAATTTGAGTTACACTTTGTGAAGTGCAAAATTCAAGCTATTTTTACACTATGACTAGGTGCATGATTCACAAAACATTTAATGAATGTTTATACAAAGAAATTTCATTGGCCCTCAACTGAATTTCAGTCTTACTGAGCTCTAGGAATGGGAATATTTCCAGAAAGCACGTTTTAAGTCCAGACTTCTAAATAATTTTTGAAAATAAATGTTAGAAGAGAAATAAAGTTATAACCAACCTCAATGCATTTTTATTTTCCAAAATGAAGACAAAACCAGAGAAGCAATCTTAAATGAACATGAGAAAATAACCATGTTTGTAGCCTTTAAAATTATAAAAAGGGTAAAATCTGTGGACTGAAATATTGCTCTGTGAATTACTTGTTTCATTTTCCATGTCATCCTGTCATTCCTAACTCCCGATATCATATACATGTTCTTCATGAATGGTGACATTCATTGGCAGTTTGATTACAAGTTGCTACTGTAAGCCATTCCCACGATGTAGTTGCTATTCCTTGAGCTCTAGGCTAGAGAAAAGCAATACCATCCACAAAATCAGAAATTCTCAATAGGAAAGCCGTGTGAGTACCTGGCTTGGGTAATGAATCCAAGCTTCCTCTCAGACCTGCACACATGACAAATGGGGTGAAGCAACGATGAAGAGAAATGAGTACAAAGCATACCTATGAGGCAAGCAATTCTTCTCATTCCCCAGAAGTTGCCTGCAGTAGCAAAGGCCACTTGTCTAGTGTGACAAATAGGGCCTACTTCTTTTTTGCAGGTGAAAGGCTGACACTGAGATTCAAACCATACAAAAAAAATGCAAAGTAACCTTGGGTCACAGAAGGAATCTCATGACCAACATGCATACTCATTGTGACATATATTTTCAGGAATGTAAATTCCACACAATGGACAGCAAAATAATTTTCTCTATAGTTCTGCATCACGGCAGCAATGCTTCTCTCCTTGGAAGAAACATGAAATGCTCTCACATGCTTTCAAACATTGAAAAAACCTTTGAACAGTCCCAGAAAACAAAACCATAATGTGCTGAACTTCAAACCTTAGGATCTTTCAGACACCTGAGTCTTATTTCAGCAGGCTTCTTCTTATGAAACCTGTTTGTTAAATACAGATTGTTAAATACAGGTTAGATCAGGTGTCGCTGAAGCTTAGGCAGGTTTTGCTGTAGCTCAAGAGAGCTGCATTGACCCCAGCAGGCTGTTTTCCTCCTTACCCAAATCTGCCTCAGGCCCAGACAGGCAAATTGCTTTCAAGCATCCTCCAATGAGGTGCAACCCGGAATACCACTTACTTGTATGGGATGTGTTTGCTTCCATTGACAAGGGCAAGGATGACATTGCCCAGCGCTGGCAAGGAGAGACAGAGGCCAGAGCTTCCCTCACGGTTTTTGCTGAGTACTTTCACGCAGCTGCCCAGGTCAATAAGGTGCAAACGGCTGCGACCTCCAGACACTGCCATAAACAAAGAAAGCAGAGTTAGTGATGTCTCCAAGAGCAGCTTCCCATGCAGGCAGAAAACTCACCAAGACTTGTGAAGAGGAAACAACACAGAAACCTTCCCTAAGTCATGTTAGCAGACACAAACTGGAGGAGTCCTGTTAATTCACTGTCAGTCTTTATTGCTGTACATTGCTGTCTACTCCAGACTTGTGTAAAAAATGCCAAGGCTTTCAGTACTCACCCTCTCCTCCAGGTTTAACACTGTGAGAGTCACCAACGTGACTGTGTTTTTTTAAATATAGCTTTATTAGCCTGTACCTGAGTTGGCTCTGTTTCTGTCTCTGTCACTACTGTTCCTCTGTCTGGAATACTACAGGCTGGGAACTGCTGCTTAGTGAGCAAGGATCCTTCTCTTATTTTTCCCATCCTGAATCCTGTATCTTAAGAAGAACCTGTAGTATCTGTGGGATGTTCAACTTTGCTTTAAGTCTACATACTTTTATGTTATCCTTTCAGCTAAGAAAAAGTTTGCCATGCTGGAGTGATTGTGAAGTAGATCCTCTGTTCTGAAAACAGTTTCTGTAAGACTGGCACTAGAACTTTTTGGGGTTTTTTTTGTTTATTCTGTATCAACACACTGCCTTTAGAGTAAGAAGATGCTACCATTGAAACATCAAGATTAATAGACATTTGCTCTCTTTAAAAACCTGTGGTTCCTTATGAATCCAGAAAGAAGACTAAGCAGACTTTACAGAAGTGCTTCGAGCTCTCTACTCTCACAAGACAATTTCCTAGCTGAGTTTTTTGCAAAGCCTATTCTCAGGAGTTAGTTTAGAAACAATATGTAGGAAAAGGCAGTTATATTTTTAGGATCTTAACTCAAAAGGTAAGAGCAGTATTCAAGGGCACAAACCTCCCTTAAACAACAGTGAAAATACTTTACATCTGAGTTTATGCAAACAAAGTCACAGGCATTTTGACACAGCATCTCAAGTTACACATTTGGTAAAAAGAAGTATTAGCACTGAGCAAGGACATCTTTCACAAGCAAAGATGGCAATGGGAGCAACTACATGATGGGAACCTTAGAAAAGGATTTTATGGATGTATTTAATTGCTTTATAAATGCCTTATCAATCACAAACATCCTTTTTCGATGGCCCTGCATTCAGTAGCTGCATGGCAGACACATTGGTGCTGTAAGAGGTAGAAGGATTACATAAAAAAGTGACGAAGACATTTGTAAAACTTCTACATATTGACAAAAAGGTGATTCATAGTCATATAATTTTTCAGATTCAGAAAGTGTACTATGAAAATGTATATAAATATAGAAAACATACAGCTACTAAAGCTATATATAACTATTAACTATAACATAAAACATATTAACCTACACTGAAAAAAGAGATTTCATTTTGCTAGCACTGCAAGACGCAGGGCTCATTGTTTAGTCCTATTTACCTGGTGTCTTGCATGACACAAAGCTTTCTATTAAAAAAAGGAAGAGTTTCTCTCAAATGTGTTATGTATAATTTTATAATTCTGTTTCAGTTATAGTTGATGGCTAGTTAAACATTAATAACAATAAAACTACAAGTAGATTTTTATTATAAAAGAAAAAAATGAATTAAGAGAAAAAGAGAAGATATGAAAATAAAGTAAGCAGAGGGAAAAAAGAAAGAAAGAAGAGAGAAGACAAAAGAACACAGAATACTCTTTCTGTGAAAGTGACTTATGCTATGGTATTTGAGAATAACATTCCAAAAGTGTATCCAGTATCTCTGTCAATAAATGTTAAAACACAATGACTTCTGCTGCTTTTAAGTCCTGTCAGTTCTTCAGCTACATCAGGTGTTTGGCAACACCTTCTTCACACACTGGACTTCTATGTATTCTCTCACAAGGAAGTAGTATCCACACACACTACAGGCTCCTGCATTTGCCACACGAAGTTAGGCTTCCTTGGGGAACCAGTCAGGCATCTGCACCTCTAAACTTCTCATGGAGGACTTTTGTCTCCCCTTTAAGAGTCCTTAAAAATCTTAAGAGTCCTTGAGTCCTCTAAGATTGTTACCCTCATAAGACTGAAATTACCTTTTTTGCGTATCTCCCAATCATTTCGTTAGGAAAACAAAGAAACGCATTTTGTTGCTACTGAAAATGACTGCAGGTGACATTACTGAATCATACAAAATGAGTATTTCTGTTGCTAAGATTACCAGATATCAGGGAAACTGAACGAAACCACTAACTTTCAAAAGCTCAGTCATTTTGTTTCCACATGTATTCCTATTACACAGGTTGAGGAAATGTAGAATAAGATAAATTACTAGATCTTTTAATTTAATTTACATGCTGAAGTAACATTTTTAAGATTGTAGATCCACTTGCTTGAAAATGAAGTTATTTGTTAGGCAAGTTCTCCACTAATGTGCCTGACAACTATAGAGAAAAGAAGTGAAACATTGTAACACTTGGTTTTGTCTATGGCCATAGAGACTGCAGAGCTGACAGCTGAAAAATGACTGTGCCAGTTCTGCCACAATGTCATTTATTTCAATGGTGCTGGGCCTGCTTCACGACATCCCTAGTAATGAATCTAACAAGGAGGTAAGTACAGTACCAATGCCTTATTCTAACAGTAATTTTTTACCAAAATCACATGTTAGTCAGCCCTTTAATCTCTTATCCTTCAGAAGCTGAGGGTTTTTGGTTTTTTGGGTTTTTTTCTTTTCTTTTCTTTCTTCCTATCCTTTTTTAATCCTGTTACTGGAATCTATATATCTCTACTATCTTCATGGTTTTTTTCTGAGAAGTCCTTCATTACAGCAGGAGACAGTGATAATCACTAGGCGCCCTTTCTGAGCAGCTGGAATTCCCTCCTCATTCAATTATCAGCCAGATCTGACCCTGCCTGGCTTGTAAGGCCACTCAGATATGGGAACTTGAAGACAGGAGGAGGTATGGCCACTAGACAAAGATATAACTAGAGGCAGTGGGCAAAGCATACAATATTCTAATCCAACAGGAGGATCATGTCTTCTTTTTTTGAAATTATAGCCACAGGAAAATAGTATTTTCCCTTTTACTAATGGCATTTGAAAATAGTAGCAAAGGACTGCATGCACATGTACTTGTATGCAGTAAAAAGCATTAAGTATTAAATAATTGCAATAATTATTTCCTCAAAATCAGCCATTTTATTTCTATAAACCAATCTGTTTGAGTATTCACAGTCTTCCTTTCCACTGCAGGGTGGTTAATTAATATACCTTTAGTTAACTGAGATTTCTGCCTGCCAATTCCACAGGGGTTATTACTTAAACACATGCAAGCCATATTTCCATTTAGAGCAACTTTCTGTTTTTCTCTCTTATAAGTACAGTCAATGTAAATTTTCTTCATTCAAACATTAGATATTAATACTGTAGTGGTGATCACCCACTACATATCATAGCTTGCAATCTATTCCTTATTACAGATAACCTATGCAGAGCCAGGAGCTGACACATATGCTGTTTCTGCAGACTTGCTTAAGCCCACAAATTTAAAGAAGCGGATGTCTCTGGTGTCTTTTGAACAAACTTTTTTTTCCTGTAAAAAAACATTATTTGAAAAAAGAATTTTAACATTAAAGTTTTCTTTTTCAGCAGGGGTGCCTCATACTGTACAAATCTTTTCTCATTGGAACTCACTAAAAAAAACCACTCTCTGTATATCTGTAGTCATAAACAATTTGGGAGTCTTGAAACAGAAGACAAGTATAATAAAAAAATATAAATGGTGTGAGCCAAATGAAAGCCTCGAAAATTATAGCAATATATAAGTAGACACGAAAGTATCTTTTCCTCATGGACAAGTGGGAGATGGAAGTAAATACACAAGCCAGTAAAAGCATCTATAACAAAGAGAGGGAGCAAGTCTACCTGAAAAGTCTGGAGCCTTTACAAAGAACAAGAGTCCTCTGTGCACACATAGTTTGGCCAGCAACTAAAAAAACATGTACTTCCAAGAAAAGGTATAGTTTATGGATTGCCAACATCAGCTTCCCAGTTTCTGGATTGTCAACATGAACTTCCACACAGACTGCCCTATTCAGGTGCTAAAGAGGAACAGCTAACATAAAGGTGGCAAGGAATTCTCATCACCACAATATTTTAATCCATTACCTCAACACTATCTGTAAAGATAATAATAAAAGACAATTTGAGAAGCACCTTCTTTTTTTCGGATGGAGAGGCCCACACAGTGCTGAGAATTGTCAGTATCTCCACAACAGCAATTAAACTGACAAGTGATGGCAATAATTCCCAGTGGCCTTCAATGGCCTTTGGTGGGTCTTCACCTGGCACATGAATGGTCTGCTGGTATGAATGGCCCCACCCAATGCTAAATGAAAAACTCTGCTGATTTTCACCACTAAAGAACATTGCTTAAAGGCCCATGTAAAGCCAGTTTCCAGAGAGGCCTGGAGGAGAGAGAAAGTAGCAAGAGGACAGCTCACTTCCGCCTTTGCCGCTCTTCTCCATGCGATACTGGTAGATGTGCAGAGTGAAGAGCATGTGGGAGTTGCGGTGATCCTCCTCATCACAGTCCCGCTGGCTGCTCCGGCGTGAGGCAATGGCAGCATCCAGGAAGAAGGCAGCCTTCTCTGCCGTAGGGGCACGGAGCTCACTCTGATTCTGAAGCTGCAGTTAACACAAGGGAGAAATCATTTAGAAACTCCCACACAAGTCAACACCACCAGACAACTTACACCAGTCAACACATACTGTGGATATGCTGCTTTCTGCTGGGACCAAAAAGGAGGAAGTGCCAAAGCAAAGAGACTCTACTGACATTGGCAGTGGCAATAACGTGCCCTCCAGGAGCCCTGATGGCTAGAAGTAGGAAAAAAAAATTGTGGAAGACATGTCAATCCAAAACTCAATAGTTGGTGGAGAGTGGTAGTGGCAGGGCTACATTACCCTTCAGAATGTGTTAGAACGGAGCAGTCCACAGATATATGGTCCCAGGTAAATCTGGGAAATAATAGGACTGAAAATTGTGCTTAGTCTTGTGGCATATGGGGAGCAGCACAGAAGAGAAGCCCTTTCCTTACCCCTTCTTGCCAAAAGCTTATGCACTTGCTAATAAGCCAGGGCAATCCATTAAATGGAACAAGGAAGGTAATGTACATACATTCACATTTGCTGGACCTCAATCCCAGTCACCAGCCTGCTCTTAACTCCCCAAAGTGACAGACAGCTTAGGAGGGCAGATATTATTAACCCTCCCATAACATTAGGAATGCATGCATGTTTCATGTCACCTAAGATCAGTGTGTCTGTGAAGGGACACGTGACTGCGCAATCTGATAGCACTAGTTTCGGCAGTACGCAGAACTGGCCCACAGCCCATAGGATGAGCTTGTTTTGTCTGGTGTAAAAACAGCAAGGAACTCCCTTTCTTGGGGTTTGTTCCCCTGCTATATAACATAGCTAGAAGTAAAATTCTCCTAAAGGCAGTACTTCTGTCTTCTCTTTGTGACCATTAATCAGCCCGAGGAGGGATAAAGCTGAGGCTGTGTGTGGGATGGGGTGACACAGCTGAAGGCTAAGCACTCTCAAGAAAGAGGGAGGGGGGCAGGAAGGAGTTAACAAGGCAAGTAGAAGGCAGGTCAGTCTGTGGGCTGATCTCACTAATGTAAGCAACAATGTGCATACTTGGAAAGGTCCAGTGACAGACAGTATGACATATAGTGATCATTCATTTGCTATGTACACTGCTGATTCTGCATATCTGTATGGCTATAATATAATAACCTCCCTTCATTCGAGGATTTTGAGAATTCAGGTGTAGGACGTATGACTCCAGAATGTTGCTATATCTTTTAAGAACACATAAAAAGGCTTCTTTCCCTTGCAATTTAACTCAATATTTTACACTGCAGAGATACATAGATGTCTCATGGAGATACTTCTTCTTCACTGATCTAAAATAATTCATTTTGTATATAGCTGTTCTGTCTGTATCTATATGAAAATAAGCCACAATAATGGGATATTTATTGTTATTGCTATTGTGCTAAATACCTTGGTAAAGAATTATGCTCTAAGGAGATGGTAGATGTCACACAGTTATGTAACACAAGTAATGTACATATGCTAATTCAGATCTTAACTGACCCATCTACCACCCCAATGGGAACTGTGAAGACTCAAGTCTCTCATCTCATATTCACTAGACTGCACCCATTAGTGGATACCAGACGGTGAGATCTCTTGAGATAGTGTAAGTATTTCATAAAACACTAAAGTCAGGAGTTAAGAGAAAAAGAGAACCCTAACTGTTATTCAAAATCAAGATGCAACTTTGTAGTCCTTACGTAGAATGGAAAACAATGAAAAATAAGACCTAAGTATGCCTAAAAAGCTTAAACCACAGAGAGATAAGACAAAACATTTTTTACTTGTTTTTTAAAATCTCACAGTTCGTGACTTGTGTAGATTGAGTAATGATCTCTAGATGCTTGGAGCTGGATATAGTGTAGATGACCCTGTGGGTCTGTTCCCTCCTCCCTCCCCTCCCCATCCTTAGATAGGTAGGGCTCTGCAGATTCTCGATGGAATCGGCCTTTGCCTTTCAGGTTGAAAGAACATATTCAAGCTCTATCATACTTGTTTGCTCCCTCTTCATCTACTCATACAGAAAGCATATTTACGCCCTCACAGACAGCAAAATGAAAGAATAGACCTTTTTTTCCCCTCAAAGCAAGTGGGGTGAAAAGATAGGGCTGCTGAGAATTTCTCATGGTTATCCAGAAATACATGAGCCAGTTACTCATTCCTGCTAAACCTCTGAACCTGAGAAGAGTTTAAGTTATTCTTGACTTGCCCAGCTCAGGAATTTACTTCTTGGCAGTAATTAATAAGTAGTGATTAATGTTTCCTGCAACATTGCTAATGCAAATGCTATAAATAATATAATTTATAAAGAAATAAACAGCCATATTAATGGCCTACAGCTATTTGTGCAGTACTGTAAATATTTTAGCTTGTTGTTTTACAAAAGAGAGATCACACTTTTTTTTTTTTAAAGAATGAGGTGAATTTTTGTTTGCACTGAATGTTTTCAAATTTTATTGCAAACACAAGCCCCTGCTCAATATCAGTTATACCAGAGGTACAAATATTTAGGCCAGGAAAGCAGATGGCCCTGCAGCTGCAGGTCATAAAGTTCTTGCATGTTTTAAAGTAAACACTTTCAAGTCTATAAACTTAATGCTCTGGGTAGTTCTTGAATTTGAACCACTTCAATAGCTAAAGAAAAAAAAAGTCATGTTGCTTGTTTCAATGTAAAACGGACTTTGGATTCACCTGCATGCCACAAATGGGGTCTTCACAAAGGTAGACACCTGGGGACTGACCATCTTGCAGGCTGCCTGTAGCCACTTCTGACAACAGGTCTCTCAGATTTTCTTCTTTCCCCCACACTTCCACTGCAGAAATTCGGACTGAGAAGCGGGCTCCTGTCTTCTCTTTCCGTTCATTAATCAACTTGAAGAGCCATGAGATGGCACAAGGAATTATGCCAAGGTTTTGCATGGAATCATCCTTCCCAATCATGGTGTATGACTTCCCTGTCAGGAATAGGGGGATGCAGAAAATAAAACATTATTCCCAGAACCTTCACAGCCTTCTGCCAAGAGAGATTATCCTGCGCAACCTCCTGAAAACAACTTCACTACAACAAGCACAGCCGGCAAAGGGAAAAAATAGGCAGGCAGACAAATTAGTACATGGAGAATGCAGATGAAATCTTGAGCTGCTTTCAAAAATCATTACCTCGTGCATTCCCCTGACGTGTCCCATTCTCCAGGCAAGGTGCTGCAGGACCCTACCCTGCAACACTGCAGCCTCTGATAAGTGTGGGTGAATTGTGGAGAGAATTGAGTAGAGCAGGAGTGCCATGGTCTCTAAAAATCCCTACTTTAGATACTGTAAGAGTAGTATTCTTTCAATACCATTTTACTTCAAAGCACTATATTACATTTCATATGCTGGGGTTGGGATTGACATAAACTTAGTCCCAGAATCATACAGATGTAACTTTATACAGAAAAGGAAAAAAACCCCAGCACAACAGGTATATGTGATCATTTGGTGCAGAAGTGGGTCCACAATAAAAACTATTTCATCTCATTTGGTATTATTATACCACCCCCTCATTTGGTATTATTTGACTCTGCAGCTATAGCTTTGGCTTGTCTTTGTTGTAAAAGTTTGCTATTTAAGAACAGACATAGAGTACGATCTTATACTGCTTTAGGTGTCACTACATATAATGCTTTTAGATAAGTTTTCTAAAGTTCCTAAATTTATAAGCCAAATGATAAAGGTGTACATCCTTTCAGGCAAGTACTCCTGGCTTCTTCACCTTGTTTCATTTCTCACGTCGAATCTATGTGGAATGCACGTCTGTGTCAAGGTCTGGTCTATCAATAGTTTGTGGAATGGTGGTGGTGCAGTCAACAATGCAACTGCAGAGACTCAACTCGTATTCCAGCAAAGCCCTAGCTAGAATACCTCCCCAAAGAACTTGTGAAACACTGTTATCTGGTGGTTTCCTTTTCCATCTCACTTGTTATCTTGTGTTTGGCAAGTCAAAGGGGGTTAAATACCTAAGAGCTCATCCTACTCTTGCTCCTGCCTTGTTCAGAGCGGCCTTGTGGTGTAGTGACCTCCTACATTCATTGTACCAGAGCTGGTGGCATTGCAACATTCAGTAGTCTCCAGTTTTTGTTGCCTATAATTTGGCATAATTGTGACCTGATACAGCTTGATCTTCTTTACCACCTGAAAAACTGAATTATCCTTTTAAGTTATATACATATGACTCTGTTTCTTTGAGACAGTAAAGAATGGAGATCATTGCATGCAGACAATAAAACCCTCTTCATTCAAGAGACAGTACTTTCAAAATACAACTAGGTAGGCATGAGCAAAACATATGATTACTCTTGAAATCCAATTCTTTCAAAAGAATAGTGTGTTAATGATGACAATTCTCCTTTTTATTTTCCTTTCATGAATACCTGAAATTCTATTGAAGTGTTTGCAAAGTGCTAGTTTTGATCCACTGGTAACGTTCAGTTAACCATTAGAATAAGCCTTGTTGGAGACACTGCAGGAACAGGTTAGTAATGAGTGAACTGTTTAATTAGGGAATAGAATATAAATCAAACTATTTGAGTGTCCAGTCACAACACTTGAATAGTGTCATCACAAACATCAAGTATTTAAGTGAATACTAACAGCCTTTACACAGCTTGATAAAAGTGGTATTTTGGCACACCATCTCCAACACCAAGCACATTTGTAAAACTGTAAATCACTGTTGGATCATTCATTAACAATTGTCCAATATTTATACAATATTCAAAGATGTGTAAGCAAGAGGTGAAGGTGTAGTACAGATCATGCACAGTGTACTACTTTCAAATACAATTAATATACACAGACAAGTGAAAGTTGCTTTTCCCTGATATAATATACTAGCAATCTTGGGTTAAAATATTCATTTTGCCGCTTGAGTAGGGAAATTTAACAATACCAACCAAGCTTGGCATGACCAAAGCAGAACACGCAGCCATCTGCCCCATTGACCACAGACTGGATCACCTCAGCCACAGTCCCAGCACATACTTCAGCCTGTCATAGGTATTTAAAAAAGAAAAAAAGAAAAAAAAAAAAAGAAAAAGAAAAGAAAAGCATTAACAATAATAAGGAAAATAACTATTTTCACTGGAAAATGGTAGTAATGTCATCTGTGCTCATGTTAGCATGCTGAAGTATCAAAAAGTCTAATCCTGCTTGTCTCGTTCGTGTGACCTGTGCTGTTGATGGGAATGACATGACTTGTGTAAGCACATGAAGCAGGACTTTTGTTCTCTGTCAAGTAAGTTTCATTTGCTGAACCATCAACATCTTTTGTGGAGTTAAAAAAATGCACTTATTGTAAGGGGATGTGGTTGGCCTGTTAGAACTGCCTATTAAGGGGATTTTAAAATACAGTTTTGATTAAAAATCAATCCAATGCTAAGGAATTTTTACAGGATCTATTATTTACCAAATTATGGATTGAGTTCAATTACACTAGCATGTTGGTAAAGAATATCAGGGGAACAAACAGCCTCTTTGGTACTAGCTGGGTGACTACATTACTATGAGTCTTCTCAGCGTTTTGCAGCAGTAGACTCCATTCTGAAGACTGTAACAGTATTTTAAGAAGTACAACACTGAAATTTACCCTAGGCATTCCTGTATTTAAGGTTCAAGAAGGCTGAATGGTTTACAGTGGTTCTGCAGCAACTGCCTATCAATAGTGGATGAAACTAAATCAGAATTCACAGTTTAGGCCTTGATGGGAAGCACTTCCCATTTGATAATAAATCACATAAATTCACCTAGTTCATGGCCATTTCTAAACTATTTCTACAATATAAAATAAAATGGGACAAGTAAGGGACTGTTCACAGGCCAGCCCCTTGAACTGCATCCAGGCATTAGTCTGGGAGGTGCTAGCTGCTGGGACCAGAATCAGGTGAGGGACTGGCCTAATGACAGTTATATGACAGTACTTAAGCTGGTCCTGTGTCCCAGTTCTGTTTAGTTTATTAGTACAGAAATAGCCTTACAGGGTGGTTTTGTAATTATACTTTACAATGCTACTTTACTTTTCTGCTGTCCTCATGACATTTGGGTAACATAGTTCATCAAACCAAGGAAGTCTAATAAAAAGAAGAAATCTGCATATATACACATGAATAAACATTTGTAGATTAAAATCCCCAGCTTCTTATTGTAAACTATACAATAGAACACCGTAAAAATAACCCTTGACCCCTTAACAAATAGAGGACTGTATTAGAGAACTGCAGCTCTGACCAGATCTCTGTATATACCAAATAATAAGATTTTATAATATGCTTGTTGATATTGAGGATTTTCCTACAAGGCACCATTTAGCACATTTATTGCATGTACAACTTTAGGACAAATTATTTACAGTAAAGAATAAAGAAAACACACAATTATAGAGTTAAAATTTAATAAACTGATTTCATTATTGATAATGATGGCATACCAAATGCAGCCCTGAAGGTACTACTGCTGCAGCAGAAATGAATTTGGCTCTGGTGCACACTACTATTTCGATAACTATTCGGATCATACATTGCCTACCTGTGATGCATCTTGGGGGAAAACTGCATCAAAAGCAAACATCTTGGGTGGAACCTGGTTTCCCCTTTTCTGGAAAGCATTCTGACCTCCGCAGGCCAGCGGGTCATAGAGTGTGATTTGCTTCTTACGAGGGTCAACTTTTAAGAAAGAGCTGGATTCAGATGTATCTCTGGCAAGTGTGGAAGAAATGCGTACCATGACTTTGACCTGTCAGCAAACACACAAATAGATGAGCAAATTTCATTAGTCTGTTGTCTGCTCCAGACTGGTATTGAACAAATTTTCCAATTACACTCAACCAATTCATACTTGCTTGTTTTAGCTAGTGTCTCAGTGGAAGTTAGTGAATGCACAGGAATTATGAGGCAGAATTTGTCCTAAAATACAGAGTAAATAAAGCCAGAACTCATCTCCATCTACTTGTGTATTTAGAATGATGATGTATATCACGGTGTTTTAGTGTCGGTGTTACTCAAGTACAACGATGAGGTGTTACATCACCTTGTCTTACTCTCAATATAAATTGAAAATTAACCATACCCTAGTGGCCCAATTAAGAAAGCTGAAAGGTAATCTAGACTGCTAAGCTATCAGAACTGCTGCAGTTTCTACAAAAACTCTGATCAATAAAAGCACCTAAAAGATCTGTAATTTACAATTACCTTTACAATTTTAATTCAAAAGCAAAGATGAAGCGCTCAGTTCTAAGTGTCATCATCAAAGAGTTGTGAAAAGACTCCAGTTTTAATGGTCAGATTTTGAAATTATTGTCAAGGGAGTGGATGTAAAAGGTGCTAAAAGATTTGTTAAAACATCTTAGTTCACAATTCATTAAATAGCTACATAATAAAATGTTATGACAAAATGACAAAAATAAATCTTCATAGATTTAATGAGGTTATGCCGCATCCTTAGCCCAGTTCGTAAGCAATTTAGATGTAAGGAAAACAGGACAATCAGTCTGGCTTTAGTTCTCCCCACAAATTCACCACCTGCAGACACATAAGCTCCCGAACCTTACAGGGCAAACATCACCGCTCTCTCTCTGCCAGCTCTGTCCTAGAGCAGATTGACTTTCATAGCAACTAGACAGAATTTTATCTTAATGCTCCTTAATCATACGTCACTTGCATCAAACCCACCCACGTTTGACATGTGAGTGTCAGCCAACAACCCTGGTCATTCCACATGAAATGGGCGAGGTCTGAATGTTTATTTCAGCCCTAGGTCTCTCGAAGCTCAGAAGGGAGGCACTGCTCAAGTTAGCAGGAAAGGGAGGGAGTACAGCTGTAAATCCTAGAGCATCAAGAAAACAAAGGACAGTATCAGTCTTGGGCTGTTTTCCTGTTTTCAACTTTGTGTGCCTTTGGCTTTTTTCTACTGTGTCCCACATTTTTAAACAGATACCAATATCAAGAGCATTAGACTGATCTGCTGGAAAAAACCATAAATGTTATTCTTCAACTATGTTAAATAAAATACTTGCTCTGCTTAAGAAAACTCTTTCCCTTTAAGTTTATGTGTAATTTTAGCTGCTGTGAATCCATGTACTTCTAATCCTTGATCGCCATGTGCAAAGAGAGCTAACTTTGTTAAGCTTTTTGGGGGTTTGGAAAATAGACAGTGTGTAAAATTTAGCAAGCCTTCATATACAGGCAGTCTAAGAGTTCTTTCTGGCCTCAAACTATATGGGCATTCAGTTTTAACTACAGCTATACCCATTATGTTATGGTATAATATCACTAGCTTGAGTCCAGATTTAAACCTTTTCACACAAGGTCAGATTAATACCTGCCACTTCTTACTGAAGTAATACTGCAAATCCCCCTAATTTCCAGCAGCTTCCAATTGTTTCCTCTTTCCCTGGAATAAAAGACCAATTTAACTGAAATCCTAAAAATTTACTAACATCAGATAAACTGAATGAACCACTATAAAAAAAAGACCTCAACTCTGAAGTCCCAGGAGCTGTCTAACAGCACACATTCTCTGACCATTTGGCTCCTCAACTCTGGTAAATATAAACATTTCTCAAGAAAAATACTTCTATTGCCATGAACCTTTCAATGTCCTGTGCATTGGGAATTTTTGTTTTGAGACCTTATGGTTCACGTAGTCATAGAATCACATAGGTTGGAAAACACCCATAAGGTCATCAGGTTCAACTGTTAACCAATGACTGACAACTCCACCACTATACCATGTCCCTAAGTGTCACCTCTACATGGAATCCCAGAATAATTTAGGTTGAAAAAGACCATGCTCGTGTGTGCTAGGGCAGAGGAATATCCTGTTGATTACATGTGGGTATCTTCATATCTGGACCACTTCTTACTCATCATGAAAATGTCTGTGCACCTTGCCACACCATATCATGGGCAATTTGGCTCGCCTCCATTTAGACCAGCCTGTTGGAGCTATCTCCATCTGAGTCAGTTCTCTGACCCCTTTGTAGGCAACAGAGAGAAACAAGCATTTCTAGCACTTAATTTGAATGTTCTGTTTTATAACAGATAAGAACAGTTGCACTGCACAAATGCTTCTTGATTTCTCTACAGCACCACAGGCATCTTAAATGTTTACCTGAGGTGCAGGTCCCTACATCCTAGGCTGCCTAAAGTTACTCTTTTTGCTGAAAGAAAAAAAATTCTCTTCCTGGACCAAATTCAGCAGCAGACACACACACACAAATCTGTGTGACAGTCTCTAGCAAAAATAAAGTTAAGCACATGAGTGTGATGGACATTGAACACACGTAGTAACAACAAATTATTTGAACTCATCTGGTAATTTGTAGATACTTACAGTATTATTCCAGGCCAGTTTCACACCAGTGCAATTCTTTCAAATTTCTCCTGATTTACATCACATTAATTGAGAAGACAACTAGATCCCATCTGTGCAAAATATATGTTGCCTATATGCCATGGGAGCTGTGACTGTAACAAAAACCCAATAGGCAGGCAAGATACAGGCAAACTTCAGCCCTGAGAAATACATATTGGGATTCAGAATTGCATATGCAATTATGGCACACTAAAATAGGCAGACCAAAACATATTTTAAAATATCTGAGCCAGACATAACTTCTGACAAGACAGGCAGGCTTCTGATCTGGGAATCAGGCTGAGACTGGGGAGGTAGGACCTCTTCTAACAGCTGTGCCTCAGATGCAGCATGATTGTGAGCTGGTGGTTCAATCTCTGCTTCACACTATCCATCTGTAAAATGGGCAGAGTCACAGTTTACTCCACTGCAAGGCACACTGATATATTCATACAGTCCTTGCCTGGCCTCAAAGGACTGGCAGTAGCCATTAGGTAGACACTCCATTATAAAACATAATAATGCTTGTAAACTAAACCCAAGGATTCAAGCAAGGCACTTCCCAACTGTAGTTATGACAAGAGTAAATCAACTAAGACACAGCAGTAGAAACAATGGGAAACCAAGGCCTCCCATTTCACAGTCTGCCATTTCACAGTCCTTCATTGCAATTTATAGCTGGAGTTAAGGGGAGGAGGCTCAGAGTCTGTGCTAGACCCTGAAAATCCACACCACAGGGGAGGCAGCATGAGGTTAGGCAAATGTAACTCAGTCAGCTGTGGGGATTGCGAAGGAACTTAATGGACTTAAAAGGCTTCAGCTCAATTTAAGGAACAGACAGCAGATCACAGTGCTGCTCTGGGGAGGGCAGAAATACAGTATGGTTAATTTGAAACTAACTGAAGAGTGAAGTTTAAGAACTCTAATACTTTATGCTTGCAATTTATATTTAAATAAACTGTAAATTGAACTTCTCCTTAAAAAGAAGAAAGCAGGTTTTCTGCTTTACCTCCTATGTGTTATTACTCCTTTAGTCCAATGTTACAGTTTCCCACTAATCTTGTGTAATTGAAGCGTCTAAGAGATACCACTTGCAATTAATGGGACCGCTCAGTCTGCCAGAAATTCTTATTTGAATTCCAGTGACCAGGTCTTGGCAGTGCCCAGCCTTAGATGTACCTCTGACTGTTACTATGCGGAAACACAAAAGCAATCTCTTCAGACATGGGCTCTTGGTAAAAAAAAACAACCTGGGCCTAATTTTGGTCTGATTTGGTCAGCCATGCAAATCTGGCTGAACTCAACAAGAATTACCCACCTTAGGAGCGGAGGGAGAGAATAAAAGGTCACTTGCTCTGCATCATTATTGTGCCTTTTCTAGGATATAGCTTCATTTCTTAATTCAGCTCATGCATTTTAACATTTTTAATGTGTTTTCTCTTATGAGTTTACAGGATTTCATTGGACAACTATTTAATCCAACCCCCATTTACTTCATCTGCCTTCAAAGACATGGTTTGTTCTTGCATGAGTTCTACAGTCATTGAATTCCACAATATTACTCCTGGTGTGCAATGGCACAAATAAAAGTGGAATCAGAGCTATACTATCTAGGTTTCCACAACCGAGATTTTTATGTATTTTTGTCTATGTGTTTATTTTACACATACGTGTGTGTATTTAAATTATATACACCATTTTTAAAAAACATATACATTTTCTGAACATATATAAAAATCAGTATTTTTTTCATAAGTTTCTCTCTAAATGGCAATTATTGGCACTGAAGGGATCCTTCATGGGTACCATTCAGAAGAACCAAGGGAAGATTTAGGGGAATTGCTGTATTATCACTGTGCTACTGTACTGTAAAAATAAGCATAGACCTTTTAAGTAACTCTATGACAACTTCAGTTGCCTGAACTATGCTCCTTTGCTTTCTCCTTTTTTTCCCTAATGTATCCCTATATACACATCCACTATTCCTTGAACAAGGAATTTGCTAATTGTAGGATTTTCCCCAGATGAACTCAATTTGTGACCTGTCACAGGCCTTTTGTTATGTTCATACTCTGTGGAGAAGGACAAAGGTTCAGCACACTCTGCAAAGTAGAACTGGTGCCGTAGGAAAAAAAAAGAAAGCAGAGTCCAGCCACTGATACTGCCATGTCTCCTGTGCCCACAGGGGTCTGTCTGGAGGACAGACAGCAAAATGAGCAGGGAAGGTGGGAGAGGTAAGCTGTGTCAAATCTGTATCACACACAAATAGCTACAAACAGAGACTGGAATGAGGCAACACAAGCAATCAGAGATAACACTGGGGATATTATCACTTCCTTCTACTCTTGCCTGTAAGATTTCATTTGGGGTTCATTTATCTA